CTGCCATCTTCTGTTTCAGTCCGTTATTACACTCTTAAATCCTACTACTTATTCCTGCGTCTTTTGGGATCTTACAAAGCTTCAAACGACGTGTCGACTATTAAATCAGTCATCAATGATTTTAATAGCAACTATTTGTGGCAGCCCTACTGTGGACATCATCACTGTCCACAGAGGCTCAGAGTTACAAAGATGCAGAGCAGAGATCTTTTTCTGAGACGATATTAAATCTGTGCTGTCTTCCTATAGTTCAAGGACTGAACAACTATTAAAGTGCTCGTGTTAAGGACACAAAGTTACAGATTAACATCTGACTGGGATTTCAGTGACTGTAAAAACATAAACTTTTACAGATCAACTTGCTCTTGAACTGAACCCGCTCACTCTCCGACCCCGGTAAGATGAGTTTACTCTCTTTCCAGAACAGAAAACCAGAGTTTCCCTAATGTGAAGGTTAAACAAACTAACCAACCAGCTTCCTGGAATAAGGCCCACACAGTGTTCAAGTTTCTGAGGCTGACAAACTGCTCTTGCTCGCTGCATGCACTAAGGAACGTGAACGTATTGTGTTGCCATAGCAATGATATTGCTGTATAACATTTCTATAGCACATTAATATTTAAACCGGTGTTATTGCAGTCGACACGGCACAGCTTGTAGTCTGAAGCTCGCCCGTGTAGCATATGCACGTTCTTCTTGTGCCCGTTTGAATTTTCTTCATCTGCTCTGTTTTCTCTCCAGAGTGAAAGGATGTGCATGATGGGTTAAAAGGCTTTACAGCCATTCAAAGTACTGGCAACCCGGAGCCTACTTGACGGTGCCAAAATAACCTCAGAGCACATTTATTCCTACACCGCAGATTGCAGAAACATAGCTCCACTTAAAGTGATGCTGACCTCAGCAAGCTTGCTGTTGCTGGTGGCACTGCTTGGTAAGAAGCACGTGTATAAATCCCATAAACAACAACGGGCATTGAACACAATCCTGTATGTGACAGGGTCCAAGAACAGGGTGTATATTTTCTGTACCTGTGTGCTGCTGTTGTACTGTGCCACGCTGTTCTCCTCGTCAACCAGGAAGGGGTGGAAGATGTCGAGATGGAAGAGTGAGGGCCGAGCTGTTAACACCAGTCGATCCTCCCCCACATCCAGAACCAGAGAGCGAGACGACCCCTGTGCAGGAGACATCAACATATCATATCATCGTGTGCAGGCGCAGAGCTGTCGATCTCTACTTTTAAGATGGTTTTGAGCAAAAATAACTAAGAAAGCAACTTTTTAATTTTAGCCAACTGGCACAGACCTCTTCAGCTGTTTGTGGAGGCCATCAGGTACATGTGACTATTGTAAGCTTGGTGTAAATATAACAAGATAGGCATATTTTTAACTTTCTGCTGGACTTTGGTTTCCACACTGAAGTTTAAGTTAACCACTCAGGTTGTTTCTTGTTTCTGATATATTCAAAGACAAATATATCAGTCTGTTTTGGACAGACGTACTGCTCTAGGCTGGGGTAAAGCTCAAGGTAAACGCAAACCCTAACACTTAGATATATATACACACACCAGTGCCTTACTGAGACACCTCAGGTCTGTGACAGCAACAACAAAAAATGACCTTCAAAACATTTTTAATCTCATCTTATTTTCCCTAACAGCAAAGTAAAGCTAAAATAAACCAGCCGGTATTTGAGGAGGACGTCTACCCTGAAAGAAACAGGTAGGCAGAGAGCACTGAAATAAATGTGTGGTTAATTATGTA